ATACACATTGTGACATTCACATTTTATAATAATAACAATACAAATAGTCTTTTCTGAACTTTCGATACTCATACCGGATCTAGAGATGTAAAGATATATTGATGTTTCTAGATTTTAGAACAAGATGTTCTTGTAACTCGTTATATATAAAAAAAAAAAAAATCGGAAATAATTACAAGTTGCCGCGTCACCCTCTGAAGTGTTTTCAGCTTCCTGGAAGTTACACCTTCATGTGAGCCGCTAATTTGAATATAAATACCACAAAATCCTTAATTACTTTACTGATTAAATATTAAACATGGATTCGAAAAAAAAAAACATTGGATTATGGAAAAAATATAACAAAGTAATTACACAGCAATTAAAGTTGAGTCGCAGTAATGAATTTATGAGGTTTATATAAATACCAGAATGATTTGTATTACATGTAATTTACTGAAATGGTTTCCAAGTCTATTAGTCTTTGTAAATATTTTATTGTATGTTGAGATAAAGCAGTTAACTACATAATAACCGCATACTCGCTTGAACACCAACATATAACGATTAATATGTGCGAGTGTAAAAGAAAATATATTAATATTGTAACGCAGAATAAAACCACAATGACATCTATTTCAGTCTCTTGAAGTCTCAAAAATGCTTCAGAATAATTCTTGCCTTCTCAGCTTGAGCTCGTATTTTTATTCGTGTTAATATTCTCAAGGGTTCGACTCCCACAAGAACGGTAATCCTAACGTTAACTTCATGCAGTAGGCCTATATGTTAATACAACTTCCGACAATTCTGCTATTTTGGTTCCATTGTATTATTTCCCACCTTTTTAATCAGATTCACTTGTTTTTATTAAAGGGAGACTTGTTTAATGTCAAAGCATACTGTTAATAATAATTTCAATTTCATAGGATTTTAATTGTATCCATTTTTGTAACCACCTCTGTCTATGATCCCACTATCATGTTACATATTGACATACATTAACCACAGACACAGATGTGGCTACATTTAACTCATAATAAGGCCTAAAGGAATATATACCTCAAAATCATCAATCAGTGTGTGAAATGCCTCCTGATGTTACCAGCATCAGAGATTATATGGGAATTAACACCAGAATTTCCAGCATTAGATGACGGTGAACAGGGTTGGACTGGCCATCTGGCATACCAGGGAAAATTCATGGAGGGTGAAGCTCATGGTTGGCACAATCTACCCCGGGGTGTGGGAGACCGCAAAGTCCTGAGCCGATTTGTAATCCCAATCGAGTGCTGATGGTGAAGTCAAAGGGCACTAAACTCTGTGGTCTTCTTTATGTCTTTCATGCTTTTTTGTTCATTAGGGGGCGCTAGCAAACATGGCAAAACTGTACCGTGAAGTTCGTCAGAGTTTGCTCTACCGTCATATTTTAGAGGTCCTAGCTGTGGTTTTTAGGAATTCAGGGTCCCATTTATTAGGAAAAGTAAAAAGAACTGCTATACACAAAGGTGCTAACTAGTAGAGCATCTACAGCCTTGTGATCTTGCACTATAGTCACATGCGTGTTTGTTTATGAAGTGACCAAAAACACCATATTATAAGGAACTCTTGTTCCACAACAGTATATATTTTATTGCTCATCCTCTGCATGTGTACACAATGTTACAGTTAAAAAAATGTTTTCAAGCTCACAGAACATACACAGTGAATGCTGTAAACACACATACTATAATAAATACAAGCAAAATGGACGTTAGTAAAACACGGAGGCTTAGAGATGAAGACAAAACAAGTCCAGTCAGTACTAATTCTAGACAGAATACTAAGAAAGTATGGGGTTTTGTAAAATAGATCACTGGTCAACAACGTACAGCTGTAAGAATAGTGCACTGTAGTAGAACCAATATATCCACGAATAATTCGGAGTCCATCGTAATGCAATGGCATTCCGAATTGGAAGCAATCCGTATGCACGCAGTACGTACATACCCGCGTGTGTACATTCACGATCAGTACATACACTATCCGGTAAATTAATGGAAGGTACCACGACTTGCAGCTTGTCTGTGTGCAAAAGGGATCATATTGTTTTGTTTTTTTTCAGTCCCCCCTATTAAGTTAACATAAATTAAAAGTTCTGTGTTCCACATATGTGAATCTTATACTGTACAAAGCCCAACCTTTGAATACGTCATTTTCTCTATGGAGAGTTTTTACATTGTACACAGTTTTACATACATTGTTATATATATATTTATATAAAATCAATATTCATTTTGAGTGATTTCAAATGCTGCAAACAGTTCATGATCTGAATAGATTCCCATCAGGAGTAACAAAAAGCACATTCAACAATTATATGGAAAAAAATAATAATTAAATCATAGCTGCTGAGCTGCTTGCAGGGCGTGCTATAGAATTTACGTGTGGTGGGGTTACATCATTACAATCCTCTTAAAGGACCAGTAGTTTGGAAGACATACTCAGATTGGGAGATGGCCCCGCCTTCAGACACCAGTTTTTTTTTTTTGAAAGAACAACTCAACATAGTGTTTAAGACATGCTATCATGAGACATATTTTGTACTCATGTACCCACGAGTGAGTTAGCTTAAGATATATTCTTCGTCAAAAGACTGCAGCTCCTGAGAACAGGGTGCGAGGTCTGGTGGGCATTTAAGGACTTAAGACATGTGTCAGTGTAAGCAAAGGATAGGCAGACAAGTAGATACGAGCCATCGTACTTGCCAATGGAACACATCTTTGGAGTGGACCATTGTCTCCCAATCTGCTCCTCGGGGACTCGCAGATAGTCCACGTTTTTGCTCCCTCCCAGACAGTCCACCTACCAGGAGCTGGGAGGGAGCAAAAACATGGACCGTCTGCGGGTCCCTGAGGACCGGATTGGGAAACACTGGAGTAGACTATGGCATGCTAATCAGACATTTGAAACCGACGTGACAAAAGCACCTACTGCTCTATATTTCTTGTAAAGTGCTCTGAAATTACAAGGCAACATGCCCACCTTCAGGTTTCTCTCACACAAAACACGCAGGTTTCCGAGTCACACTCAGGGCAAAAGGCATCTGGACTGCAAGGATCACGCTTCTCTCACCCAGACTGGACAGATCATAATTTTTCTCTTTATGACGCTGACATTAAACACTTAATATGTCTTCTGGGAAATTATTTAGCACCAACCTGGTCTACTTCAATAAGCATATTGGCAATTAGGACTGTACAAAGAAACGTCGACCCTCTACAACTCCAGGTAACTATGATTTTGTTGGTTAAATGCTAAATTCAATAACAGACTGCATGGAAGAGATGCATAATATATAAAAGAGCACTCAGTCAGTGCAGGTGGAGGAGATCGCCCATTCAGCTCCTCTCAGCTTGCTGTCAGAGTGGTGAACTTCATTCAAGCTTATGTCCTATTCACAAAAAGTCTAGCATTTAAAAATGAATACTTTGACCTTTTTCTTAAAAAAAAAAAAGTACTGGAATAATTTGTTAAAATTTTCTATTTTTTTTTTTACAGTTCTTACCGTATAAAAATAATTCAAGCAATCAAAAAACAGGAGACTAGTTCAGCTGCCAGACTGGTCTCTGCAGCACCAGGCTAGACTCCCCCCCCCCAACCCCCGCCCCCC